AATTTGATATAATTAATTTTACTGAGTTTCTGAAGTTATCAGGATCTATTGTTAGCGAAATAATGATTAGTTTTGAATAAAATATAATATAAACAAAAATGTTTTTAATATTAAATAAATTTAGATATTTTCCAGCCATTGTGTTTTCACTGTATTACTATATCTATTACTATTGTAACTGTAAACTATTTTTTGTTGTTCAAAATAATAATAATTTTACATTAATTAAAATTATGACCCAAAACATTGATGTGAACTTTTTCATTTTAATAAATTTTATGATTTTTGTCGTAAAAATTAACAAATTAATTTTATAATATAATAAATAGTTTCATAGTTATCACCAAAATTTTTTAATAAATAAAAACAAATGTACTTACATTATAAATAATTCAACATAAATTAAGGTCTTTTCAATTTAGTTGAAACTATTATCTGAAACTATTATTTTACTAATAAATAAATTAGTTTTAAGTGCAAAACAAGTACATTGGTAATTTCCTAGTTAATATTTCACAATACAGAATATAAACTAGATCAAATCAGAAACCAGCTGAACAGCACTTTTAAAAAAGTCATAAAATTTTTATAAACCAAGAAATTAGTTCAAAATACAACAAAATTAAGCAAAACACAAAAATTTTACTCTCAATTCATAAACATGTTTATTATATTTCAAACTTAATGCCAGTAATTAATGATAGCAATTAAAAACTATACTCGTTATAATATGTACATACAGTTAATACTTATAAATGGTCTGTTATATTACGCTCAGAGTGTACCCGAGTATAGCGCCGATCCGGGGGCCGACACCGCCCGACCCCTGACGGGTCCTAAAGGCCAGACACCGAACCTAATGAACCGAAAAAATGTGTTCAACTCAATGATCGACTCGTTAATCAACTCTATTATACCGACCAATAGTGACAGTACGGCACCGATAGGTAACCGACCGCCCGATCCAATGTCGCTACCCGACTCGCCCACCCGGGGTCGGGAGCCCTTAGAACCGGTTACCGGACAACAACCGCCAGCGGCTGAACAGGAGGTGCCGTCCGATGGCTTTTACGACCCGTACGCCGACGATGAGGAGGACAAGGATGTGATGGCAGCCAATAAACAGACGGTTACGCCGCCGGTCGAGACGACCACACATTTAAAACGTAAAAATCGTACCATCGATGTTGACAGCACTGGTGGCACCGGTGGGCCCGAGTGGGTAACCAATACTGTTGTTAGTGATGAGCAAACGCTGAGCCCCAACACTGATATAGCGGTAAAGGCCAACACAACAGCAACTGTTGAGGTGGTAGTCACCGATGGTACTACTAATGGGATCAGTAGTAGTAGTGGTAGTAGTATTGGCCCCACATTACCACATGAAACAGTAACCACTGCCACCGGTGCTCTGTCTACGGCAAGAGTAGTGGCAAACACTGATCACGGTATTAGTGAGCAACATGATAGTGATTCAAATAAAAGTGAGTTGGTTGGTGGCAATGCTAACATGAAACAGTTTGCGGGAATGGTGACCATGCCCATTATCAAAGTGCCCGTCATTTTTAACATATCCATAGCGAACGCGACAAATGTAACCCAAACGCCAGGCGCCGCCCCCTCTAATGGCACTGTTATTATCAATAGTAACGGTCAGGGAATGAATGTGTCAAATGGGGATCAAGTGGTGATCGAGATATTTAATCCGGAAAAGTGGGAAATGATTACCATTCATAAGATCACTACAATGGCATCGGCACCGGGTGTCACCACTCCTACCACGACAACAACAGGCAACAGCACATCCCCTACAGCGGCACCGGACGCATCCATAGCTAACACATCACCCACAGTGGTAGAGGGCTCGAGCACTACACCCACAACACTATCGCAGAGTTTGAGCTCAAGCCCTACAGTAACCGCCAGTGTAGGCTCGAGCGCATCCGACTCTACTGTAGGTATAGGCGCTCAGACGGACAGCGCATCGAAGTCTACTCCAGACATATACGTGAGGGATGTGGAAAAGTTGGACCATTACGGGCCCCGACGACCACCTCGTCGGCACCGGCCGTCTCTAAGCAGAGAGTACGAGACAATACAGACAACGCCCGGCCGCAGGCGGCGACCCAAGACATTGCCACCGGATTTCTGGGACACAACACCGGCCACTGTTACGGCCAAACCGCGGCGGATGTACCAGAGACGTAGGGGTGACCACCAAGTTGTTGCTCAAACTGATCCACTGAATAGACAGGCAAACGATGACGATAATGATGCTAATGATATTGAAACCGAACCAAAGGCCCGACCTATGACTGACATACAGTTTCAAATAAATCGTTTCGGGCAGCGGACAGGCAATGGAGGCCGCGGTAGAGATCCGGATCAATTTAAACCGATAGTTGTAGCTGATTTGCCTACTTTCGACCTAGTTGGCGGTGATATTGGGTACAAACCATCTAGAGCGCCAGCACCAGCACCTGTAACCGGCAAAAAATACCCCAACAATGCCAACAACATAGACATCGAGGCACTGTTGGGCAAAATAAATCACATGCTAAACGTGACCACTGAAGCGCCGGTTGGTGTCGACACCAACTCAATGATGGAGGAGTCGAGCGGTTTTAATCCCATCGTGTTAACAATGCCCAACTTGGGTGTAGTGCCCGACTCGGCCTTCACCGACCCTAAGCCAACCCACGGCCCACTACTGGTGCCGCACGTATCTCACGGCCGACCCTCACCACCTGACTACTAATAGCCGGGGGTTTACTCGTGGCGCAGCTGCCAGCCGTCTGACAGCCACTGGCAGCCGAGCTGGCGTTGGCGTCGGGGGTGACTTGCCAGTTGCCCTGTCGGCAGCCGCGGCTCAGGTATGCCTCACTGGATAGTGGACAGTAGACCACAGCGTATTGATCATTTAGATCATCATGGTCATGTCACTTTTGATGATTCATTTCACTTTATCACGATAGACAAGCTGGACGTGTCCGGCATACTCGGCCACCAGACACAGGGTGACCATCTGAACGCAAGCGCTGTATTGGACGGCCAGTCGTGGCATAAGATAGAAATGCTATTCACGCCCACCACTGCCACCGCCAGCACCGCCAGTACCACCGATACACCCGCACCACCACCAGAACCTGTTAGCAGCCCTACACAAAGTGACCAGGATGGTGTCACCACAACCACAAAGCGCCGCCGCTTTCCCTGGCCTATCAAACAAAACAAGGAGGCGATTATGTCTGCGCCCAATACACCCGCCCCTACGGTTAGTGCAGTCCAGACCACCGCCAGCGCACCCACCGTCACAACAAGGCTGGCCAGCAATGTGTACACCACTACCGACCAGTCGCAGGACAGCAAGAAAAGTGACAATTATGATAAGACAAAGCCGGGAAAGCCCATGAAGTTAACATTGCCGCCGCTGCTGCCAGGCCTACATGGCATCGGGTGGCCAACCATCGAGCCTAAGCGTAACGATAGCCACCAGTTGCCAACCCTATCGCCCGCCAGCCATACCACACATCGGCGGCCACTGTTGTCCACACCGCGACTCGATTGGCTGCCGCACTGGATCTTTACGGCCATAGCTCGGCCCACCACCGGCCGGCCCGGCGCCAGCCTTAGGCCCTGGCAGACAACCGCCTCCACTATCATCGGTCCAGCCATAAATGAGCCACAGCCTATCGTCGATGACAACGTTTACCCGGAGTCGGTGGTAGTGGTGGCCGCCGACGATACGGCCGAGAAAGACATCAACGCCTATGAGTTGAACGCCGGAGTCGAGGGTTCAGCGCCGGCACCGGCCTCTGCTGACCAACCGGTGGTGACCACTGACTGGTCCGTGGCCAAGACTACAGGTGTTAACAAGAAAAACAACACTAACACCGCGGGCAAAGAGGGTAACTATATGGGCAACAATTCTGGCCAATCATATGTGGGTATTGGCAATTATAATGGCCAGGGTGGTGTGATCATTGGCGCCAACTCGGGTAACGGTAGGCGCCCGGTCAAAAAACCGGTGGCTAATCACTCGCTGTATTCAAATAAGCCTATGTTTGATGCCATACAGAGGCAATTAGCGCAGGATGAAGTGGCCACTGAGGCACCTGTAGTGTTGTATTAGGGGGAGGGGGTGTAGTAATTCATGTTATCTAGATTGTTATCATTATTAGATATTAATGTTGTATACATTTATGTGATGTTTGTATTGTTTTTGATTAATATGTAAGGATATATTGATGTTGTAGTTATGAGTATAAGTTATGATAATTAGATTTTTTTTGAATATTTTATTATTTATTTTTTATTATGGTTAAAAGTTACAGTATTTTATAGTTATAATTGTTAAGTAGCTCATTGCACCGCGATGTGGTAATTATTATTATCATGTGTTAGTCTATCCTAAATATTTAATCAAGAATTAGCACAAATAGAAACATATTTGATAATTATTTAAAAACTATGTCAATTAGGTGTTTAGTAATTAATTCATTTGTATTATTTGTCAACTTGTTTATTTATTATTTATAAATAGTTTAATAAAATCATTAAAATAAAATTTAACAAACATTGAAAATCTATACTAATTATTTATTAGTTAATTATTTAACATTAAATGTTATAAATAATATCATAAATATTATAATATTAGTCACAAACAATCAGAATAATTATAATTGTTATAATTTAATTATAACACTAACTTACTAACAACATCTTGTTTAAAACTAGATTATAATTTTTATATAAACACTACATTATATGGCAAAACAAGTACTTTCATGATGATAATTGGGATCAACTAGTTGATATTTGAACGCCGCTTTCTCAGACTCAATGATACCGGGGGCAAATTGATTGGTGGGATACCAAGTGGGCCTAACACTGGGCCCAACAATCCTCCAGAATCTCCATCACTTCCCTCGTCCTGTGCCGCAGACATCACCACAAGTGTCGCCGAAGTAATCGCTAATATCATCACAAATGCCAACAATTTCATCGTTGAATTAACTTTAATTAAAACTTTTGTTTTAATAATTAATAACAACTAGTTTTACAAAAACAAAAATTAATTTTATATTTGAGTTATATTTAAGTTATATTAGAGTTATTTTGTTTTTTGAGTTTTTTTTGTTTCACTCTCTTATATATTAAATATATGGTTAATTAAAGTCAATGCAATTCTGGAAATTTTGATTAAATCTATTTATAATTTAATTAATATTTATTTTCTTTGTTATATAAGATCATAAAATTAAATGATAAGCAAAAGCATGAGTGTAACGGCCGGCTAAATAGCGTCATACAATGAGAACACAAAAATAGTTATTACTGTTAGTGTTTAATTAATTAATATTAATTAAGTAAAAACACAGAAATTAATTGTTTGATTTATGATTAACTGTAAGTTGTTTATAATAAAAATTTTTTATCATCACTAAAATTCAAAAATAATAGGAAAATTACCCTTTTAATTATTTTTATATTAATGCTTTCTTAAGTTATTACACAACGTTTATTGAAAATTAATATAAATTTCGCAAAACCATACAAATTAAAATTTTATACCAATTTAATAATAATTTAATTCAATTAAAAACAATGTGTCAGTATGTAGTTTTTAAGCTTTATTTATTTTTAAAAATATTTACATTTTATATGCATGACATTAATTGCGATAAATATTACATTTTTAGTTATCATGTACCATAAAAACAAATAAAATGTTCATAAAATTTAAATAGCTTTAACTTTAAGATTTAAAATAATAAGCAAATAGTTGAGATATGTTTAATTGTAATATTATTTTTATTAAATAAGGTACTAATTATTAATTAAAGCAATAAAAATTACAAGTTTTATAACACAATTAAATAATTAGAAAACAATGAAAACTTTTATTTTTATCAAAATATTTGCATCAAAACAATAATTGCATTAATCGTCACTTTAATTGTGATTAATATTTATTTTCGCAAAATTCAATTATTTGTAACAAATATCAAACATTTAATGCATTTTTGCGATAAAAGTATTTTGGGATTAAGTTTTCAATGACTTGAATGCACTTTAGTTTAGGACTTCTGGACAACAGATCCGAGAAGTCATTATCCGAGAGACCATTGATTCCCTTGCATTGAATGACAAGCGTTTGCAGCGCCGGTAGTCTTGAGATGTAAGACAAACACTCGCGAGTAATGTTAAAAAAGTTACCAATGAATAGATACTGAAGTCGCGGACACTTAATGTGCATATCTTTCAACACATTTGGTTTCATTTGAAATAAATCTAACTCTAAATGCGTTAATCTCTTGCAGTGTCGCAACGGATCCAACAACAGGTCATCGATGGCCGCATACGCTGTTATATGTAATCGTTTTAAATGGCGATAAACTCCTAACGAATCTAATGATAGCTGAAGGACTGGTTTAGTAGAAGAGTTCAATTGGAGTGACAATCGTTTCAATTGTTTGCAATTCACACCAATTGTACGCAAAGACTGGTTCAAAGTTGCATACATCTGGTCATCCATTTCTCGAAACACTAACCCGAGTGTCAATTCCCGTAATTGTGTTAATCGTGACAATTGTCCGCACATTTCATTCACAGACACTGAAGTATAAAAATAAGACGACTTTAAGGCCAAACACTGGAGCGACTGATTCTGTGCCACGAATGCAGACAATCGGTCGTTAAAACGGTCTGAATGTGATCTTAACACCAATTTATGCAAATTATTGCCAAACAGTGTATTCAATATATAGTCAGTGATGTCGTGAAAGGATTTGATCCTTAATTGTGACAATCGGTGGCAATGAGTGATCGCTTCACTGTCTGTATAGCAGTTAATACCACCGATTCGTGTGACCAGTGGTCCCAACGATGGCATTGTTTGCGCACTTTTTGACGTCAAATCACAATATATTTCCCTTAAATGCCGGCAATTGTCTCGAAATGTGTTCAATACTTCCGGAATGAGTTCTTCGTATCCATAGTCTATTCCTCGGCAGTCAATGCACTGAATCTTCGGACACTTTATGGCAATTGTGGCCAACAATTGAACGTCACTTCTCTTCGCATTCAGTAATCTCTGCATTAATTCATCGCTAAGAGTGATGTCCACAACACTCCCGAAGACTGTCCTCTGGAACTGTTTGGACACACATTCGCAACGGAATCGGTCTTCGAGTGAGAGATAAGACAACAATACTTCATACAAGTCATCACCGAATCTGTCCAAAGAGTTCTTCGCGTAAATCTGTGGCTAAAATGTGAGAAAAAACAATGAAAACTCAATTAATAGTCAATTGTTTATGAAATACGTGTTGTGTGTCTTCGTCTTCATTGCCATCATCTGTGGTTTCGAGTGATGTCTTCTTGCGCTTCATCTGTTGTGCCATATCTTGGGATCAAATGAAGTGATTGTTTGAATGAATTGTATTTCTGTCACAAAACATGTGATAATATTTACATTCAATGAAAGCCAACACAAAGTGTTGACGAGTCAGACATCTATTGAAACATATTTTCATTACATTTTATAACACTTTAAATAAGTATTTAATTGTGTTTTAAATAATTTATGTTTATTTTAAATGTAAATGTTTTTTAAAAGAGATTTTTATATTAAAATTACAATTAATAATAAATAGTCAATAAAAATAGAGTAATAAGTCATTTAGAAATCATTTTAATATTTTAAGTTTTATTTATTTTAAAAATATTTAAGTTTTATGCAAATGACATTAATTGCGATAAATATTACATTTGTAGTTATCATTACATAATTAGCAACAAATAGGCATTAAATACAAGACATGAATGAAATGAACGCATAATTCAAACAATATTTAATAAATTTAATAATAATTAATTACTTTAATAATAAAACACTAATTATTTTTCACATTTTTTACTTTGAATAAAACTTCTTCTCATTAGTGATGCGAACGTCAATAGTCTTGAGTTTAGGACTTCTCGACAACAGGTCTTTGAAATCATTATCCAAGAGATCATTAGTTTCTTCGCCACAGCCTTCGGAGTCGTCGTCGCCATAGTCTCGGCCGTCAATGACAAGCATTTGCAGCGCCGGTAGTCTTGAGAGGTGTGACAAACACTCGCCAGTCATCTCATAAAAGTTACCAATTAATAGATACTGAAGTCGTGGACAGTATTGATGCATATCTTTTAACACATTTGGTTTCATACCCAATAAACACAGCTCTAAATGTGTTAATCTCTTGCAGTGTCGCAACGGTTCCAACAACTGGTCATCGATGGCCGCACACGATGTTAAATGTAATCGTTTTAATCTATGATAAACTCTTAACGAATCCAATGATATCTGGAGTGCGGGTTCGGTGTCCATAGAGTTCAGTTGGAGTGACAATCGTTGCAATTGTTTGCAATTCACACCAATTGTACGCAAACCCTGGTTCACGACTGCGGACTTGTGGGCGTCTAATACGTCAAACCCTAACCAAAGTGTCAGTTCCCGTAATTGCGGTAAACGTGACAATTGTCCGCACATTTCGGTCACAGACACAGAATATTGAAAATAAGACGACTCTATGACCAAACACTGAAGCGACTGATTGTGTGCCACGAATGCAGACCAGCGGTCGTTAATATAATCTGAATGCGATCTCAACACCAATTGATGCAAATTATTGACAAACAGTGTATCCAATGTATGAAATGATTGGACACATAATTGTGACAATCGGTGGCAATGAGTGAACGCTTCACTGTCTTCACAGTCAATATCACCGATTCGTGTGACCAGTGGTCCAAACGATGCCATTGTTTGCGCACTATTTGACGTCAAATCACAATATATTTCCCTTAAATGTCGGCAATTGTCTTGAAATGTGTTCAACACTTCCGGAATGTGTTCTTCATATTTAGCTCTTATTCCTCGGCAGTCAATGCACTCAATGTTTGCACACTTTATGGCAATTGTGGCCAACATTTGAACGTCACTTCTCTTCGCATTCAGTAATCTCTGTATTAATTCATCGCTAAGTATTGCCATAAAGTGTGCAAACATTGAGTGCATTGACTGCCGAGGAATAAGAGCTAAATATGAAGAACACATTCCGGAAGTGTTGAACACATTTCAAGACAATTGCCGACATTTGAACGTCACTTCTCTTCGCATTCAGTAATCTCTGTATTAATTCATCGCTAAGAGTGATGTCCACAACACTCACGAAGACAGTCCTCTGGAACTGTTTTGACACACATTCGCAACGGAATCGGTCTTCGAGTGAGAGATAAGACAACAATACTTCATACAAGTCATCACCGAATCTGTCCATTGAGTTCTTCGCGTAAATCTGTGGCTAAAATGTGAGACAAAAACAATTAAAACTCAATAAATAGTAAATTGTTTATGAAATACCTGTTGTGTGTCTTTGCAGTCATCTATGGTCTCAAATGATGTCATTATTTGTTACCTCTTGTAGAATATCTTGGGATCAAATGAAGTGATTGTTTGAATGAATTGTGTTTTTGTCACAAAAATGTGATAATATTTACATTCAATGAAAGCCAACACAAAGTGTTGACAACGAGTGAGACATCTATTGACACATATTTTCATTATATTTTATAACACTTTAAATAAATTTTTAATTGTCTTTTAAATAATTATATTTATTTCAAATGTACCAGTGTACATTTTAATAATTTAATCAAGGTTTTTACGCTTTAGAAATATAACATTATAATATAATGTATATTATAATTATATTGCTTATAATTGTGAATTTAGTACAGTAGTTGATTTATAACAGCGTATAATTAATTAATTAGTTATAATTAGTTAAATAGTTATTTATATTATTATATTTTTAATTTTTAATTGTTTATTAAAATAGTCGATAATCTTTGGGAAACATAGCGTTAGTGTTGCGAATGTATTGCTTTTCAATATGAGTCCAATTCAAACAGTGAAACATCTATTTAAACATTATAAATAATATTGTAATTACAATAATTATAACAATTACAGTATACCTTAATCATTTTATCCCACACATCACGACTGGGTACTAGATCAAATTGTTTGCAATACACTTTCAACGCCAGGCCGTAATGCCGGTGCAAAAGGGCGTAACTTTCAGTGAATTTATATACTTTTGTATCGTACGGATCGGCAGATAGTTTACACATCTCTTCGTACACCTGATCCGCATCCGAGATGGTAAACGATGGCACAGTTGGGGCTGTACTACCATTAGTTAGTGTTTCATCAGTAATAATCACACTGGAAGTGATGACACACTCGGAGCTATCACTAGCGGACAGTCCACTCGTTTCCTCCGCATTTTGCATTGAAACCGACTGTCCGTCTATGAGCTCACAAATGGCCACACCTTTAATGACCAACACATCCAAAAGGGTCGCACTTTCCGTCTCTAATCTTAAAATGAGAAAATATTTTTAATGTTAAAACATGTGTAAAATTTATATACAAAATACACTAACATTTTCACACATTCCCTGATGTCGGGCGTCTGTCTCGCAGTGTTAAACGTGGCCCTCATAGCAGTCAAAACACTGATTTCGTTCACAGCCAACGCCTTATCGGCCAATACTATCTGCCGGTGCCGGCGCTCCCACTCCTGGTGCACATCACTAGTGGTTGATTTATCCAGAGCTCGCATCCGGGCCAATATAACCCGGGTGTTTGTGCTGTCGTCCGCCATTAACTCGTTGAACAGCGTGTCTGACTCAGTCTCCGGTAATCTAATCCAAAATCAAACAAAAAATACACTTTCAATGCAAAACTTTTAATGCATTTAATAATCAATTATTACTTTGAAATCCAATTGGTTTTTAAATCAAGGATCGCTTCTTTATACTTGTCGTCGTCCGATAGCATATGTTTACCAACTGTAGTGTCCGCTATACCCTTCCCACCCCCGGTATCACCAGCCGGACCAGTGGTCAGGGCTTTGGGCGCCAAATGACTACCGGTGTCGACAATATACCGGATGGGGAAACGAAGGGATAATCCTTTCTTATCCAACCATATTTTGCCCTCAAAATGCGAGCCCACGGTTACGACAGGTATATCGGCCGGAGTTGTGGTCAGACCGACGATGAACACCGGGTACGGAGTGTTGGGTTGTAGAGTACATGGCATCGAGCGTTTGCTATCCAACACTGCCTCCCTATACGTCCGGTAGTGATCCAGCCTTTGATACGACATCGAGTACTCGACTCGCACAGGGAGTGCCCCCATACGGTCCAACTGGGAGCTATCCGGGTGTTTTATTTGAAGCCGGATCGTGTAATTACCTTTATCTAGCTCAATCTATTCAACATGTTGTTGTTATTATAATAATGGTATTTCTAAAGTATTTATAGTAAAATTACATTGTTGTTGTAACCGCTAGCGGCAACCAACAAGCGTTTGGTATCGCAATCATAAATCATCGACATGAAACTAACGCATTCAATGTCCAATCTAGAGCCTAATGGGTAGTGTATGTCCACAGATTGTTTCTTGGGCTAATTGTCAAATTATCGAGTTTAGTAATTTACAATAATACTTATACATATTAATCTAGTAATATACAATGGTTAATTAATAGAATTGAACTAGTAAACATATATAAAGTACCACATTGAATTTGTAAGTCATTAGACATTCGTAAAGTTGTTGCGCCGGTGGTAAGACATCGCGGTTATCCAGTGGCCGAACAACATGATCATTAGGTCTAACGGTACAAACGTAATAATTATGGTATAGTAAAATCTTTTCATGGTAATAATGAAAGAATAAAATGGTAAAAGTAATAATAAAAATTGCTTATACGTTATGGTCTGTATATATCTAGTGACATATATAGATGGTTTTACTTCCATAACACCGGTGGTGGACTGTAAGTCTATTCGGGCGATTCGCTCGCTGGACAACTAAGTAATAAATTATATTGTTAAATTAAGCATGAAATTAAGCAATGAAACAAGCTGGCTAATATTAAAGCCACGTTAGTGTATTGTTAAAATTTAGCCCACAATAATTAATAGAAATTCAGACAATTGTAAAGTAAAACATTTTAATTTATACAAAAAACAAGCCTACCATGGTAAAATCCGTCAACGGGCTAAACCCATAAAACCGAAAGCACAGCGTAACCCGTGTATTGTCCACCTTTGTCCACGACTGGCCAAAACATAGCTCCAGTGTATCGCCGGCCACAACACTCATATCATAGGCGACCTCATTGGCGGCCGACAGCCAAAACTTGTTGTCCATACGATTAACGGACTGAGTATTAATGTCTGACAGTTGTAGGGCTTGTAGTGAAAACAATGTGTCGCCGGTTCCCCACTGTTCCCCGTTTAGCACTCGTACGCGCATTGCGTTAACGGTGTCGGGAATGGCCACGAATTGGCGCCATATTTGACCCGCGCTGCATGTGATTGAATGTTTCAGATTCAACGTATCGGCCAATCTATAGTAGTAACAAATGTATTGGTAGATAATTTATTTGAATGGTAATCATGGTTAAAATACTGTTTCTATAAATATTTATGTTTCAACCTTTCAGGTTTAATAACGGTGACGGGTATGCGAAATACCGGCCCCTTTTCCACGCATTCTGTGTCGTAGGCGATGATCTGTTGACATAAACAATGATTATTTGTTTAACACATGATTTACTTTAATTTCCAACATTTAACAACATATTCAATACCCATGTAAAATGTGCTTGCCCATTCTCGAGGCCGGTAGGGTCGACACGTATGGTCACATTTCTGGGTCCGTAAGTCATGTGCAAAAATGTGGGACAAGTAATCCACTGGTCGTCGCAAACGAGTCTTAACTTCATCTCAAATTCAACTTTTTGTTTATTATCTATAAAATAATAATTCATATACAAATAAAAATAATTTTCTTAAAAATTAATTCATAAATCATTTATAATTATTATTACCGATATGTTTATCATTGAGAAATTTGGGTTCAATTGTGATGACATGAGTGGTCGGGTGTCTAACATCTGGCACTTCCCGGAGATAAATACCCAAATACAAGCCATCAGTTGTGATATGAAAGTTAACGTCCTGTTTAGTGCAACCCATACTGTATTCACACAAATGTGCGAAAGCCTTCTCTACCTATAAATTAAATAAAAATACATTTTAATATAACAATTTTTTTTGTAAAATTGCGAGAGAGAGAGAGAGAGAGAGCGCCGGTAATACAGGGCCGGCGTTGGGCACGTGTCACAAGCAATGGACCGCTCGCACCAATTCGCTCATTTACGTCGGCGCATACGTCTCGCAGGATATGATGATTGCCCAATACTCCCGGTGCTAGAGAGAGAGAGAGTCGCAAACCTGGATGAGTCCCAATCCATGAGTGAAGGGCTGGTATTCGTGTACTTTTAATGCCGTGTTTTCAATACTCCGGCGAACACTATATGGAGAGTAAGGCATTGACAGAGCGTTCAAACCGGACAGCAATAGTGCCACACATCCGGACACGTGGGGCGCACTCATGGATGTGCCGTTCATCAGCTCGGATTTTGAGGTGTCACAGACCGGCACCGATGTAATGGCACCTCCCGGTGCGCATACACTCACACCCAGATCACCGTTTGGCCTATTAATAAATTAATTTATTAAATGTTTATTTATTATGATAATTTATTATATATCTCCCGTATACTAACGCTGGTCCCCTTGATGTCCACGTATAACTCAAGCCGCGCCCATTTGTCGGGCACCTGGAGTATTGGGCAATCATCATATCCTGCGAGACGTATGCGCCGACGTAAATGAGCGAATTGGTGCGAGCGGTCCATTGCTTGTGACACGTGCCCAACGCCGGCCCTGTATTACCGGCGCTCTGCACCGGGAGTATTGGGCAATCATCATATCCTGCGAGACGTATGCGCCGACGTAAATGAGCGAATTGGTGCGAGCGGTCCATTGCTTGTGACACGTGCCCAACGCCGGCCCTGTATTACCGGCGCTCAACACAAATATAATGCCGTACTTATCGACAATTTGGTGCATAAAATCCAATACAGGTCTAATAGTATTGATGTAAATTCATAATAATATGAATAATGCTAATTAACATTGTAAAAATAATAATACCCTTGTATAATAAATGAAATGCTCATATTAATCACGTGACACCCCATGTCGATGGCGCGATTCATAGCCCTTAACATAATGGTAAATTTAATTTATATACCCCGTTATATCAAGTTAAATTTTATGAATTAGATACGTTAAACTAAATGAATTCGTTTAGGTACCTAATGAGCGACGAACCCGTATAGTTGTCAGCCATACATACGCTCACAATCTGAGCCCCTGGAGCCACACCGTCCCGATCGGGCTGACCCGGAAAGTGTGCGGCAGCTATACTGGCCACGTGTGTGCCGTGTGCATCTGCGCGTTAATATGGTTATTTTAGTTTAACAATCATGGTTATTAGATATTTTATTGCACTTACGGGGCATTGATACAATTTCCAGTAAATTTCCCTCTTTGTGTATGTTTACCGCATAATTTAGCATATCTAATAAATGTAAATGTTAGATTTAAACAAGTAATAATAATTTACGACTTATATCAGAACATACCTCGATCAGATATGGTTCCGTATTTAAAACATTCCCTATATGTGCCCAATACTGTACATTCATTGAGCCGTCCGACACCTGTAGTGTCGATAACTGCGCTAATATTTTGATTAAATGAATAAATTTTATAAATACAACAATGATTAATAAATTTTATTTTATAAAAACTACACATATGTTTAACTCACTGCCAATCGGATCCATTGTTAAATACAATGCAGTCATAAGTGGGTCCCAAGTCTTTGCGGTTTGCATTGATATCACGTAACAAATCAACTCTCGATCGCAACTCTTCGCGCATTAACTTCTGGTCTAAGCTATCATTCATGGCTTCCGTGTGTTTCGACTCAAACGCCTGCAACTCTCTGAGGGCTTCGGCCGTCGCCCGTCTGTGTCCGGGCGTCCATTCATTAGTCTCATACTCGGCTGCTATCCTATCACGTACTGACTTTGGGTACAACTCATATAGATTTTTAATACCCACGTGGTATTTACCAGTAGGGTTTGTCCAGTGGCCCGGTATCTGTTTATCAGTATTTAATTATTGTTAGTAATTTATAACTACATTCACATTCACTTAAAGAACTGAAAATATGTATTGAATTCAATTATTTGTTTTTATTGATTAATTAAGTTTTTGTAAATAAATACCAGTTATTGTAGTAAACAGTGTCGTTAATCATACCTTAAGTTTAGTACCGGTGAGTCCAGTAATAAAACCCTCGCTGTCGGCCTCCACAACAGTACTGGTGTCCACATCGCCGGCGCCGGACGTATCCGTCATATCAATAATTTTTGGTTTGCCATCACTTGTAATCTTAATGTTAAATATAAATTTAATTAAATAAACTTATTATTAATATAATATGTGAATAAATGGCATATCTGTACAGACCTGAAGACCCGGTGCTCCGGGATCTACTCCAGTGTCAAATATAGCAATTCTAACACCTCTGCCGTCATAATCGGGGTATTTCTTGAGAAATGCTGTGACAGTGGTCTCACGTTTTGGCTGTAATGCCCACAATGGATAATCCGGTGATAAAATCAACTCGGTCATTGTAATATTCAAAAATAAAATAATTGCTTAGTAATTGCAATGAATAAGAATTAAAAACAATAATAATGTTTCATTGCTTGTGCCTAACAGTAAAGTACATTGTATTTGTTGTGATTATTTCATTACCATTTTATGATTAGATAATGAGTTTACGTATTTAAAAAATATTATATTACTGAATATTATGATTATAATGTTTGTTTTATATATGATATATGTAGATAAATTGAAATAACTAAAATTTGTATATGTAAATATATAAATAGTTATTTTAAAAATTGAAAGTAAAGTATAAAGGTTGATTTGAATAATGCATCATGTTGCATTTTTATTTAACAGATACATAAAATATAATTATATCAAATCATGTAGGCATTGTATTATACAATTTTAGTAAAAAATTGTGTGATATTAACCATCTATGCTGTCAACATCTCTATGTGGTTAACCAAATCCCAAAACCTAAATATGCAGCACATAGAATTAATGTTAAATTAATCTCTATGCTATCAACTTCTATGTACAGTAGTCATCTATTTTATCATATCAACACATTGTGACCCAAAATTTGTAGCACATTTATGTATAAATACTTCTATGCTGTCAACCCATACATTGCACTCCTTGTACATTATAATCAAATGTCAAATATGCATTGTAAAAATTTGTCATAATCATTGTAAAATGTATAAATGTAAAATGAGTTTTTCGTTTTTTTAAATTAATAATTTTTAATTAATTTTGAGATTAAATGAATACATTTTTACTGTAATATTTCGTATTTGATTGATTAATAAATGTATAAAGTATATGATTTATAAAGATTATAATACTATATAATTTTATAAAAATAGCATTTTATATGTGTTTATAAAAATTGATTAAATGGCAGTAAATTATTAAGAATATCATGGGATATTTAAAATAGCAAACCCATTGTATAATATGTTGAATATAAAAATAAAATAAAAATATTCTAGATCATTCAAAATATATTTAAACGATAGGGTTTTAAAATAGTCGATATTCTTTGGGAAACATAGCGTTTGTTTTGCAAATGAAATGATTTTCAATATGAGTCCAATTCAGGCTTTTAACCATCTGTCATAATAAAATACAATTACTATTAACACGAGCAACAAATTATACAATGGCATACCTTGATCATTTTATGCCAGATAACAGGGGTGAGCAACAAATCAGACTGTCTATTGTAGCCATTCAACGCCCGGCCGTAATGCCGGTGCAAAAGGGCGTGACGTTCAGTGAATTCATACACATCTTTGTCGTACGGATCGGCAATTAGTTTAGAGATCTCTTCGTACACCTGATCCGCATCCGAGATGGTAAATGATGGCACAGCTGTGGCTATATTGCCACCAGTAGTTGCCGTTTGATCAGAGATAATGACACTGGAAGTGATGGCAGACTCTGTGCCACCACTAGCGGGCAGTCCACTCGTTTCCTTCGCATTCAGCTCCGACACCGACTGTCCGTCTATGAGCTCACAAATGGCCACACCTTTAATGACGAGTACAGCGGTAATCAAACTATCACTTTTGCTAATAGCCAACGCCTGGTCGGCCAAAACTATCTGCCGGTGTCGTCGCTCCCGCTGTTGATCACTGGTATCCTGTTGTCGGTCGAGTGCTCTCATACGGGCCAATATAATCTTGATGTTTGCGCTGTCGACCTCTATTAGCTCATTAAATAACTTATCCGACTCAGTGTCCGGTAATCTAATCCATTGATGATAACCAAAATAAATTCATTTTTAACGTTAAAAATTTTACTTTTAATAAATAGCTATTACTTTGAAATCCAATTGATTTTCATATCTGCGATCGCGTCGAGCATTGCCTTTGAATCTACGCCAGCAGATGTGTCCGCACAGTCACCACCTGCTGGACCGGGTGAGGATGCTATGGGCGCCGCCCACTGGCACCCGCTGTCCACGACGTACCGGAACGGTCGGGACAGTTGGCTTTTAGACAAGTAAACGTTGCCCTCAAAATATGAGCCAACAGTAACGGCCGGTGTGTCTACGGGGGCGGCGGTCAGACCCGCTATATACGCCGTGTGTTGTCCGCAACTACAGTGGTTTCCAATACCAGTCGGATTGCCCACCGCTTCGTTGTACGTGTCGTACGTGTGAAGCGATTCCCGCGCGCAGTACTCTATACCGAGAGCCGCGCGATTGAGTTGGTCTAATAGCTGGTAATCGGTGTGTTTTATTTGCACCAGGATCGTGTAATCACCGAACTCCAAGTGAACCTACATGTAATTGTTAAATATGACAATTAGGTTTTGTTTGTACTCATTTTATATTACAGATAGTAAATATAATTATTGATTCAGATTATGATAGTTAATCATTACCTCTTCACAAGTACGTTCTCCTGATTTATGATGCTCGGCCGTTATGTAGCACTTGGTTTGTGTGTCAAAAAGCATCCACATGAAATTCACATATCTCCGACCTAACTCATGATCGCCGGGCGCCCAGACTATACCTACCGACTGGGTCTTTGTCTATTGAAGTGACCATGAAATTAATTACTTAAATATTATATATCATACGTTATGCCATAATACATGTATAGTAGATACATAATTTATAAATGTACATCCCACTTACCAAGTTTAATTTGTATGTCAAGAGACACTCATACAGCTGCTGTGCCGGTGGAATAGCATCGCGCTCGTCGAGTGGGCGAACAATATGGCCAAAAGGTCTAATAATAATTATAATATTCTTAATATTAATATACGTTTACGTTCAGCCCCGGCAGTCTACTCGGCTTTTTACTCGACTACATTGAGAGCATATTCAGTGATGAGCAATGGGGTGTCTCAACTCACACTCACAATTGAAATACAACAAGTATTGCTCATCACTGAATATGCTCTCAATGTAGTCAAGTAAAAAGAATTCCGGGGCTGAGTTCACGTGATTAAAATACTCTTACTGTAGAATATGGACATATTTATTGAGAAAGATTCTCGGTCTAATGTCATTAACATTCGTAGTGCACTGTATGTCCATTAGGGCGACACTCTCGCTGGACAACTAGAAAATAACAAAAGATTTATCCTACATGCGAACAACAATTAATACAACCATGGTCATTGTGTCAGGTATGGGCCGGAGACCATAAAACTCGACGTTAAGAGTAACCCGAGTGCCGTCCAAATCGCTCCACAACTGGCCAATGCATAGCTCAAGAGTCCGGCCGCCGGTCAGCTCAAAGTCATAGTCGTCTTCACGTCCGGCGGACAAACTTAACATTCTGTTCGTGTAATTAACATTCCGGCGCTCTTTGGGTAGTAGTTGTAGCGCTTGAAGACAATACTTTGTTTTACCAGTAGTGACCTGAGTCGAGTCACTCACCACTCGTACGCTCATTCCGTTAACGGTGTCGGGAATGGCCACGAATTGGCGCCACACCTGACCCGCATGGCATTCAATAGAGTGCTCCAGTTTTAACTTGTCCGGTAATCTAGTTAGAAATTCGTTAAAAATGTACCTATCTAAATATTGTCTTTGTAAAATAGTACTTAATTGGCTTGATAACGGTCACCGGAATACGAAATACCGGTCCCTTTTCCATGCAATCTATGTCATAGCCATTGATCTGTTTAGTTAGCAAATTATTAATAATTAATTTTAATAAGATGATAAACTATACCCATGTAAAATGAGCCTGGCCATCATCCAGTTCAGTTGGGTTGACTTCAATGGTAATATCTCTGGTACCGTAAGTCATGTGCAAAAATGTGGGACAAGTGATCCACTGGTCGTCGCACACGAGTCTTAACTTCATCTCAAATTCAATTTTTTGTTTATTATCTATAAATTAATTTGAATTAAAATATAATTTTTACAAAATAAAAATTTATTTAAAAATAACCGATATGTTTATCATTGAGAAATTTGGGTTCAATTGTGATCACATGAGTGTTCGGGTGTCTGACATCTGGCACTTCCCGGAGATAAATACCGGAATTCTGACCATCAGTTGTAATGTGAAAGTTAAGTTCAGTGCAACCCATACTGTATTCACACAAATGTGCGAAAGCCTTCTCTACCTATAAATTAAACAAAAATACATTTTAATATAACAAATAATTTTCTTTTGTAAAATTACGCGAGAGAGAGAGAGTTGCGATCGAGAGTTGATTTGTTAAAAAATATCAATGCAAACCGTAAGGACTATGGCCCCACTTATGACTGCATTGTGTTTAACAACGGATCCGATTTCAAACCTGGATGAGTCCCAATCCATGAGTGAAGGGCTGGTATTCGTGTACTTTTAATGCCGTGTTTTCGATACTCCGGCGAACACTATATGGAGAGTAAGGCATTGACAGAGCCTTCAAACCGGCCAATAACAGAGCTACACATCCGGCCACGTGGGGCGCACTCATAGATGTGCCGTTCATCAGCTCGGCATTTGATAGATCACAAGATGGAACCGATGTTATAGCACCTCCTGGTGCGCATACACTTACACCCAGATCACCATTTTGACTAAAACATTAGGATAATTTTAGCATTAAATGCATAACACCATCCCTATTGGTACTTACGCCGGACCCCGTGATGTCCACGTGTAGGTCATACCCGGGCCATTAGTCCGGCGCATTGAGTGCTGAGCTGTCATCATATCTGACGAGACGTAACCGCCGACGTATATGAATGGGTTGTTTTGTGCTGTCCATTGGGGTTGGCATGAGGTCAACGCCGGGCCCTCATTACCGGCGCACACAGTAATTATAATGCCGTACTTATTGACTATTTGGTGCATATAATCTAATACAGGGCTAAATTGTTAAATACACATATAATTATTATATGTAATATTAGTGAACAATTAAGAATGTAGTAAATATTCACCAACCCGGTTACATCAAGCACACTGCTGATGTTAATCACTTGGCAATCCATTTCAATGGCCCGATTCATGGCTCTAAATACCATGATAAAATATATTTAGAATCTATATTTTAGATATTAAAAATATAAAAAGTTTAGATCCTAAGCCGTTAAGTTATATTAAGCTTGATTAAATGAATCTTGTAAATTTTTAAAAATTAATAATAACGATGATTGTTCACAATTTAATTCATAAAAATTTCCTTTAAATACTGGTAAAGTTTATTTGATGTATGAAAATTTTTTTTAAAAAACCTGATAAATGATGAGCCCGTATGTGAATGATTGCTTAGTCGATTGTCAGCGATACATACGCTCACAATCTGAGCCCCCGGCGCCACACCGTCTCGATTGGGCTGACCCGGAAAGTGTGCGGCAGCTATACTGGCCACGTGTGTGCCGTGACTGACTGTGTTGACATGGTTATTTTAATATTATGACAATGGTAATTTAATATTTTATTGGGCCTACCACACATGGAGACAATTTCCAATAGATTTCCCTCGTTGTGTATATTAATGGCATAGTTTAGCATATCTTATATAAATAATGTAATAGGGGTTAATATCGCAGAAATTATATTTACATTTGAACCGAACATGTTCTAATACTAACCTCGGTCAGATATAGTACCGTATTTAAAACAATGCCTGTAATTGCCTAATAAAGTACATTCATCCAATCTCCCAGCGCCGGTAGTATCGATAACAGCCCTATTTGTAAATGACATTATAAATATAGATTTGTATATAAGCAACAAGAAAGTGATATTTAAATTAATATACAGAAAAACGTGATTAACTCACTGCCAATCGGATCCGTTGTTAAACACAATGCAGTCATAAGTGGGGCCATAGTCCTTACGGTTTGCATTGATATTTTTTAACAAATCAACTCTCGATCGCAACTCTTCGCGCATTAACTTCTGGTCTAAGCTATCATTCATGGGTTCCGTGTGTTTCAACTCAAACTCCCGGAGCTCTCTCATCGCATTGATTGTCGCCCGTCTGTGTCCGGGCGTCCATTCATTCTCCTTATACTCGTCTTCTATACGGATCCGCACGTGTATTGGGTACAACTCGTATAGATTTTTCATACCCACGTGGTATTTGCCAGTAGGGTTTGTCCAGTCGCCCGGAATCTGTGTATTGCCATAAAAGTATAATAAATCATTCTATAAACTAAATTTTTTATAATGTAAAATGCACTTTATATGTGCTTAAATTTGAATAAATAAGTTATTTAAAGTTAGCATAATTTTTTAAAATTGGGTATTCTAGTCATAGAATAAAATAAAATTTATTGGAATAAATACGAAAATAAATCATATATGTCACTATACCTTAAGTTTAGTACCGGTGAGTCCAGTGATATAACCCTCGCTGTCGGCCTCCACAACAGTACTGGTGTCCACATCGCCGGCGCCCGAAGTGTCTGTCATATCAATAACCTTTGGTTTGCCATCACTTGTAATCTAATGTTAATTAAAGTAATAAAATAACTTATAAAGTTTATAGTATTTAAAAATAACATTAATATATTTATTAATGTTTATTTGTATGCAAATATGTTCATGTGTTAATATACTGTATTAGCACAACAGCACATACCTGAAGACCCGGTGCTCCGGGATCTACTCCAGTATCAAATATAGCAATCCTAACACCTCTGCCGTCATATTCGGGGTATTTCTTGAGAAATGATGTGACAGTTGTCTCACGTTTGGGCTGTAATGCCCACAAAGGAAAATCTGACGACAAAACCGTCTCGGGCATTATTTAATCAATTTAATTATAATTATTGCTAAATTATAATTAAATAAACAGTTAATATAAGAGCATAGGCACAAAGTGCTTTTCAATATTATAAATTATTTTTATGAAAAAAATGCTTTTTCTAACAAAGCAGTTAAAAATTGCTTTTGTTGTATAAAAAATGAATGTACAGTACTTTTGGCAATACAATGGCCCACACAATGTTAATTCATACTATAGTTTAACACTTCAAGCACATTATGCAATAATTTACTGTTATTTCATCACTTTTAAACTATATCATTTAAATAGTCTGTTTGTTAATTAAAATATTTATAATACACTTTTTGGTTAATTGAACGAATAACAATTAATTTAATTATTATTTATTTAGTTTAAATAATTTACTTTAATCATAAAGTTTAGATGAAACTAAAATGCATAATAAAATACAACATTCTTTCGTTGACTACAACGGATGTAAAGGGTTTAAGCACAAGAATATACAGCAGTCAACTACCATAAGCTACTGTAACCAATGGCACCCCAAAACTGGTTTAGTACATAAAGGGCAATAAATATGCAAATCTCTCTCTCTCTCTCTCTCTCTCTCTCTTTCAGTATTTAAAGGTCTGTTTGTTTGTAA